GTGGTGTTTAGCTGCCTGCTGGGTTAAACTGTGACAAGAACAGAGAAGAAAGCTGTAGCACATTATCTATGATCTCTTTTCAGTTATCAAATTGTGGCAGAAGAGGAAAAACTTGTGTATGTTACAACTTGTATTTATTCTATAGCACATAACTTAGCTTAATAAGCTTTTACATGTGTCATACACGTATGAGCCTCTGTTGTGGTCTAGATACCTGAATTCACTTCTTGTTCTTTGCTTTCATTGGTAAGAGGATTATCATGGAGCTTCAAGTAGATTTCAATTGCTGATCGAGCAGCCTTGAAGTAGAAGGCATGTTTCCTGAGCACATCTTCTAATCTCAAAAGGTCTACATAGGCACGAAGAGTCATCTTTCTCATGCAGTATGTGTGGAAGTCAAATTGATCATCTGTTATCTCAAAAAAATGCTTCAAGAAAAAAGAGAAAAAACCACACAACTTATGCACTTCCCTTACTTAGTCTATTTTTTTGTTTTTAAATTAGATGGAGCTGAATAAAGTTACAACTGATACTATTTACAGGCAATATTTAACCGGCATAGGAATATTCACATAATACTGATTGTCCAAGAGAACGTGTCAGTAGGGAAAAAACCCAACCAGAAAAAAAAATCTTATTTTGTTAACAAAAACTATAATGTGATTGTTCAAAGACTTAGGCACTCTTTAAAAGTCAAGTGAAATGCGATTACTCTGATTAAAAAAACCAGTCGGCAAAAGACAGCATAAAGTTAAAGTACAAGTAGTTGTATAGTTAGGAGACATGGTATTTTATATTGAATCCTTTTCACTTCAAATAATAGTTTGTCATATAATAGCTAGGGATGACATCTTACCTATTACAATAAATCATCAAGTATTAACCTGTTTTTAAAAATCATTATACTAGAAACATTATATGCAAAGAAAATCATGCTGATAACATCAGCAAATATCTTCATTAGTGTGTGAGAAATATTGGGAAAAAAATTGGTGGTGTTTGCACCTACTTACCCTTTCTACTTCGTGGCATTTTTTCAAGGCATCACCATACTTCCCCAGCCTTTGATAAGCTGCAGCACATTCAGTCTGGAACCACATACACTGCATCTCATTTAGGTTTTCCATAGCAGAAGTTCCTTCCTGAAATAAGTGTCATTATCACTTTTTGCTATTATAACTCACCAGCTGCTTCTTTCAACTATGGCTAGTTTCGGGCCATTAGTAGGGAAAAAAAATATCAATCCTTCAACTACTTGGAATACTATAGAAAATGGATATAACCACCCAGCAACTGAGAATAATGCTTCTGATACCCTATGCTCCCCAATATAGAAGGGAATAGATTTAAATGATTTAAAAAAGTTATCTGAGCAAGATTACTGTCTCAACAGATTTTTAAGATTAACTCATGCTTGTATACACAGTCTTACTTTTACAATTTGGAGGCAGAAAACACTATTTTTAAAAATCTTAAAGTTCAGCAAATACTTTTCATTGTTTCCCCCCCCCCATCAGGTAAGTGGCATCTACTAGTCTAAAAATCCACCGATATATTTACTGCTTTA